TTATATGTTGTTTATCTCCCGACTCCCCGGCCGGCCAATGGCACGATCACTGTAAAAACGAAATACGTAGATTCCCCTTACGGTATCTCAGCTTACTTGCTTGTTTTGTCGCGATGTGCCCGCCACACGGGCTTGCTGCCGCACCGGCCGTACCCACACCCACGGACCCGGGGAGGCAGCACGTGCACGATGAAGGCGCCTCTCACACTCGCACCCGGGTCTCCCCAAACCTAGAAAATTGTACCTTTGATTTCACAAATATTCCGTTGCAAAACAATCTCGTTGTTCCAGGGAAATTTTACACATGAACTAAAGAAAATTTCGTTAATACAAAGAACTTTGGCTTCAAATTGAAATATTTTGCTTTAGATCATGTGCAAAATTTCCTTTTGGAACAATAATTTTCTGGGCGTACCGTACGCAGGATGCGCGAACCGGGTGATTCAGAGAAGACGAAGGTGCGGGCGGGTTTGCCTATCCAAGGGGCCATGGCGCCTTACGGGCAGAGCGGGTAGCCAAACCCGCCTGCACCTGCGTCTTCTCTGAATCACCCGGTACATGAAAAATATGTTCGTACATGAACGGAATATATTTTATTCGCGCCAAACTCCATAGCTATCGGTGTGCCTGTAGGCCATGAGCGGAGAGGATGGGACTGACTGTTCACCCTGACGCCCGCAGGCGCAAGGTAGTGGGTTCTTCCAGAGGTCTTTGAGACCTTAACGTCATTAAGCGAAGTAAGTGTGTAGACAAAGTGCTCGTCATGCAAGGTGACGCGTAACGTATCGTCTCGCCTCGCCCGCAAGTTCGCATTGCCCACCTCTTCTGGCCACATTTCGAATTCCCTTTGGAGCGAGAGCTTTCGATCCCGATCTCGATAAGGTGGTGCGATGTGGTCTGCTTCATGGTCTGCCCGTCGCGGCCCAGACCAGACCCAGCGCGACAGGTATCAAATCTCTGAATCTCCTGGCCGCGCCGCGCCGCGCCGCGCGCGCTCGCGGGGACTTTGTAAACAAACGTCTCGCCATGCCATCGCCACTCCGGGCCGGCCAGAGGGGCCAGGGGCGGGCGGCGCCAGGGGCGCGAGGGGTGCGGCGTTCGTGGTGGGGCGGGGCGGGGCGGGGACTCGGCCGTCCCGCGGAAGTGAGACGGCGAGTGTCCGAGCGCGTCCGCGCCGAGCAGCAGTGAATAATATCCTAGGGTGACATAGGCCCTCCACTGCCTCGCGTAACCTCAGCGCCAGACGCCTGCGTGCGCCTATGCGCGCCGCGCCCGCACAGCTCCATTTGCACGACAGATTTCAAGGTTCCGTCTGGCTATGCGGGGCGGGGCGGGGCGAGGAGGCGCCGCCACGGCCCGCGCAAGTCAAGTACATACCCCGGAGCCTTATCGAGTCGGCTCCGAGCGACCAACCACATGTATACGGAACGTCTAGACCAGAGACACGACGTGTCGACAAGGCAAACGTCCAGGCCTAAATTTGAATGAGACACGAATGTAAATGACACGGGAGGAAAAGAAAAGGGGGGAAAAGAGAATAGAATCGCGGGCCCGGCTGCTGGGCTGCTGTGCGGCTGCTGAACCTGCTGGCGCGGGGACTGCGCCCGCCTTTGCGCTCGCCACAGAAAATGGCCCGTATGAATCACGA